AAAATGGTACGTTTGATCAGAAAAGGAAGCCTGTGCCTGGCACTTGGAAAGATACTGAGCACCATAACCATAATGAGAAAATAGAGGCTCTGTGAATGTTAATACATATGACACCCTTTGTCAAACTAAGCTTCACTAGGAGGACCTGTGCTCATAGAAGAATATGCTTTAAAAGTATCAATTTTCCACAGTCGATGATAGAGAAAAGTTCATTTGCACCAGAATGCTGATAGTCACAATACACAGCCTGATGTACATAACAATACAGTTTCTTTAAACAGAAGTTCTTCCTCCTCCAATTCAGGAGTCAGTCAGAGCATAAATATTGTATGTTTCACTTTAGAAACCGATTCTCTTTAAAAAGCATATCTGGATTATTTTGCAGGGTAGAAATGAAGGCTATTTCTGGCATTCTTGCTCAAAAAGTCAAATATGTACATTAAGTATAAAAAAGGGTCTCTCTCACCTCTCTCGTTGGGTAGCACTGGCTACATAAAGAACATTGCTTATCCCTCGGTCTAGGGCCAAGTTCATTTCTGCTAGGAAGCTGAAATACTAGAAGTGATTAGAGTTCCATATTCTAGATTGGTCTTTCTTCTGGAAGGACCACATCATCTTTCCTTTACTTTTATAAAAAAAAAAAATCATGAGAAAGCTTCAGCTGAATTGGTGAACCAGTGCCCCTTCCATAGTTCATGCTGACAATGTCCACTGCGGAGGGCCAGAAATACTGAGAAGGCTGTAGGAACAAATATGTCAAACACAGTGTTGTTTTTTCCCTACCAAAATGTAGGATCTTTTTGGCATATAATACATGATAGCAGCTATCTTGAGGATATTTTAAGAACTTGGTTGGGGTTTAATCACCCATTCTGCTTGAGGATTTATACGATATACATCCAATATATAAGCATCTGGATCCAAGCAATGCTCTCCTAAAAGAAAAAGATCAGAGAATAAGTGTACATTTGTGTGTGTGTGTGTGCGCGTGCGTGTGCACACGTGTATGTGTGTGTGAGGTTCAAATAAGGTTAATATAGTTCTCTTGGCCAAAGTAAGTAGACATATGTTAAGGTTTCTTAACAAACTCTTCTTCCCTCTTCTCCCTCTCTCCCTTCCTTTTTTTTTTTCTTTTAGACTGTGAAGTATGGGTATATCAAATAAATCTCATGTGAAATTGTGGAAGAAAGCAGACATACCATCACAGGCAAATTGTTCCCTTGCTTCATGGCATCAATTAGAAAATTATGGCAAGGGCTGGGTGCGGTGCCTCACACCTGTAATTCCAGCACTTTGGGAGGCTGAGGCGGGCAGATCACTTGAGGTCAGGAATTTGAGACCAGCCTGGACAACATGGTGAAACCCCATGTCTATTAAAAATACAAAAATTAGCCAGGTGTGGTGGCAGGTGCCTGTAATCCCAGCTACTGGGGAGGCTGAGGCAGGAGAATCACTTGAACCCGGGAGGCCGAGGTTGCAGTGAGCCAAGATCGTACTACTGCACTCCAGTCTGGGTGACAGAGTGAGATCCTGTCTCCAAAAAAAGAAAAAAGAAAAGAAAACTATGGCAAGAACTTGTTTCAGGTATAAACTCATCATTCATATGCTAATACATGTCCTCCAGTGGTTTTTTTTTTTTTTTTTTGAGACGGAGTCTTGCTCTGTAGCCCCGGCTGGAGTGCAGTGGCCGGATCTCAGCTCACTGCAAGCTCCGCCTCCCGGGTTCAAGCCATTCTCCTGCCTCAGCCTCCGGAGTAGCTGGGACTACAGGCGCCCGCCACCTCGCCCGGCTAGTTTTTTGTATTTTTAGTAGAGACGGGGTTTCACCATGTTAGCCAGGATGGTCTCGATCTCCTGACCTCGTGATCTGCCCGTCTCGGCCTCCCAAAGTGCTGGGATTACAGGCTTGAGCCACCGCGCCCGGCCTCCTCCAGTGGTTTTACAGATAGGTACTTGACCAGAGCTAGAGAAGATTCAAGTCAAGTTCGTTTTAGGAATGGTCATTTTGTTTCTTCACTACGGATGTAAAGCCCATAGGTAGGAAATCCCAAAATGGTAACAACTAAAAGATCATCATTCCCTGGGGCAAACGTATTCGAAAGTCTTTACGTGCAGTGTGCTTGAAACGTATGCTGAAGTCTCAAACAAAACTACCAAGAGCTGCCTGCATGCTCGGTTGTTTGATTCATTCACTTACCAAATATTAATCATGTGCCAGGCATTATTCCAGGGGCTGGGTTTACAGCCATGTATCAGTCAAAAACATTCTAAGAGCAGCATAAGGCAACTAACAAACACATATAATATCAAGTAAGTCCGCTGGTGATAAGAACATGAGAGAAAGGCCAAGCATGGAAGGCATGTTCGGGAGGGTGTGAGGAAGGGGGGTCTCGCTGAGAAGCTGATTTATCGGCAAAGACCTGGCAGAGGCCAGGGACTGAGAAGTGAGGCTGTCTGGAGGGAGGGCATCCTGGGGAAAAGTCAGAGCACATGCAGAGGCCCCAAATCCAAGCCTGCCAGGTGATTGTATTTACAGGTTTAGTGTTTGAAGGGACCCGTGGGATAGAAATTTCAGGGGCATCCACATACAGGTGGATTTAAAGCAGTGAGATGGATCAAGCTCGCCAAGGAAGGTAAGTGCAAAGAGAGGAGAGTTCCGAGGACTGAACCCTACCGTTCTCCAACCTTGAGAGGCTGAGAGGACAAGAAATAAGGGGCACAGGGGCTCCAGCAGCACAGCCAAGGAAAAGTGGGAAGACAGTCAGAAGCTTAGGGCGTCCCTGAAGTCAGGTGAAGAAAGTGTTCTTCAAAGGAGGGAAAGATCAACTCAGGCAGTTCTAAAAACAGACGAATTGTGTGGTGACCATGACAAGAGGGTGATTCTGGTGTAAGTGCTGAGGGACAGAGCGTGCCTGGAGTGGCTTCAAGAGAGAACAAGGAGGAAGAAATTGGAGTGTAGACACTGATTCAAGAAGCTTTTCCTGTAAGGTGGAACAGAGAAACGGGAGTAGACTTAAAAGGGGGTCAAGAAAATTTTGTAAAGGTGAGGGAAATTGCCAGTTTTTTAAATGCAGATGGAGATGCTGCAGCTGGGAGGGAAAGGTTGATGGTGTCGGAGAGCGGAGGGTGCTGGCGAGAGGAGGTGCTGTCCTCAGTGGGAGCACAGAGCGCCCATGGGACTGTGAAGATATTCACAGACCAAGCGGGGAAGTTTTGTTGATTCCTCCCCTGCTCCCCCAGGGAAATAGAAAGAATGAATTTGGGAGGAGAGTGAAAATAGGGAAGTTAATCAAAATGGTGTCATGCCTCCGAAAGTTCTTACAGTCTTCTCCGCTTTGTTTTGCATCGAGTCTCCAGAGAGACTTTCCAACTTCAAGTCACACTGAAAAGACCCAGGCCAGCGAGGCGCAGGGGCTCACACCTGTAATCTCAGCACTTTGGGAGGCCGAGGTGGGCGGATCACTATTGAAAAGACCCAAGCCAGCGAGGCGCAGTGGCTCACACCTGTAACCTCAGCACTTTGGGAGGCTGAGGTGGGCGGATCACTTGAGGTCAGGAGTTCGAGAGCAGCCTGGCCAACATGGTGAAACCCCATCTCTACTAAAAATAAAATAATTGTCTGGGCATGGTGGTGGGCACCTGCAATCCCAGCTACTAGGGAGGCTGAGGCAGGAGAATCACTTGAACCTGGGAGGTGGAGGTTGCAGTGAGCCAAGATCATGCCAATGCATTCCAACCTGGGCAACAGAGCAAGGTTCCATCTCAAAAACAAAACAAAACAAAACAAAAACAACAACAATAACAAAACAGGAAAAGATCCAAGCCTACTCCATATCAACACTAAAATATTCTCATTTAAATTTTGAAAATATTTTAGAAAAGTTGTGCAACTGTTCTCACATGAGATAAAAATATCAGAAACCTACTGATTTTTAGTTTTTATCTGAGAGATTTAGAAAATATACCTTTATGGTAATATCAACATATTTCTTTTAGAGTAATCAGAGAATTGAGCAGTAGAAATTATTACAGTATGCTTACCTATATTTCCTCCAATTTCATATAACCTTTGGTTCTGAATCTTAATACATTCTGATGAACCATGACTGAAAAAAAAAAAAGAGAAAGTAATGTAATTTTAGCACTCTATCCTGATCTGAGGTAAAAGTGCATGTTAAACAACCAGGCAAAAAATACTTCATTCTACCTTGACGAAATATATCCCACAAAACTGTATCATGACTGAAGTTATGATAAAAACAATTGTTTTTCTGTCTGGCACAGACAAGAAGCTGAGGCCCCGGGAGGACGGGACTGCACCCACCAGGTTGGGAAGCCGCAGTGCTCCACCACATAGAGCCCACTGAGGCCACAGCTGCCAGCTCCATTTCAGGGTAGTTACTGTTACTGACACATCAAGGCTGGCCACGGAGCAGCTGCATGTTTAAAGCTGCCTTGTCATTGGCCGTATTACTCTCAATCCAAAAGAAGTCAGGTTTTATTTCTGCATTTGCCAAAAAATTGAATGGGATTATCAGCCCATGTCACATTTCTCAGTTTGCCTCATGCTTTGCAAGGTGTCTAAGGCTGACTTCATTGCAAGTCTGTGCCCCTTAATAAAAGCAAGTCACGGCCGGGCACGGTGGCTCATGCCTGTAATTCTAGCACTTTGGGAGGTTGAGGCGGGTGGATCATCTGAGGTCAGGAGTTCGAGACCAGCCTGGCTAACATTGTAAAACCTCGTCTTTACTAAAAATACAAAAAATTAGCTGAGCGTGGTGGCGTGTGCCTGTAGTTCCGGCTACCCGGGAGGCTGAGGCAGGAGAATTGCTTGAACCCAGTAAGAGGAGGTTGCAGTGGGTGATCACGCCATTGCACTCCAGCCTGGGCGACAGAGCGAAACTCCATCTTGAAAATAAAATAAAATAAAATAAATAAAATAAAATAAAATAAAATAAAGTCACAGGAAACTACCACTCAATTTAATTTTTCCACCCCAGACTAGAATGCTGTGTTAGAAGAGTCTAAAAGACTATCGCTGACCTCCATCCCCATCAAGGAGCGACTTTCAGCTTGGTTCCTTCAATAATTGTCCTGGCCTCTCCACTGTGAGGAAGATGCAAGTGTGCCCTCTTTTTTTGTTGTTTTTTTTATTTAATCGAACTTTCATTTGAGATGCTGTAGATTCACACGTAGTTGTAAGAAATAATAAAAGCGCATCCTGTGCACCCTATACCGATTTCTCTCGATAGCAACATCTCATAAAACTCTAGTGCAGTATCACGACCAGAATGTTGACACCCATTCAGGGAAGATGCAGAACATTTCCAGCCCCACAAGGCACCCCCTGCTGCCCCTTTGTAGCCACATTCACTCCTTCTCCCCATCCTACCCTATCCCCATCCCTTACCCCGGCAGCACTACCCTATTCTACAGTTCTATAAATTGGTCATTTCACAAAGGTTAAACAAATGGAAACATACAGTATGACACATTTTTGTACTAGCTTTTTTTTTTTTTTCCAACTTGGCATAAATCCCTAGAGATCCACCCAAGTTGCTGCATTTTTATTGCTGAGTAGTATTCCACGGTATAGAGGAGCCAGTTCTGTAGTCACTCACCTGCTGAAGGACACCTAGGCTTTTTCCCCCCAACCTTGCCAGTTTTTGACTGTGTAAATAAAGCCGCCATCGGCATTTGTGTACTGGTTTTTGTGTGAACACGCTCTTCATTTCTTCGGGATAAATGCCCAGGAGTGTGAATGCCGGGTCATATGGCAGCTGGAGATTTAGTTTTTTTAAGAAACTGCCAAACTATTTCATGGAGTGACTACACTATTGACATTCCTGCCAGAAATGCACGAGCGACCCCGTTTCTCTGTATCTTTGTCAGTATTTGGTGTTGTCAGTATTTTTTATTTTAGCCATTCTCACAGGTGTATAGTCATATGTAATTGTGGTTTTAACTAGCATTTCCATAATGGCCAACGATGTTGAACATCTTTCCATAGTTGCCATTTGTTTATCTCTTTGGTGAAATGTAATCTGTATCTCTTTGGTAGTGTCTGTTCATGTCTTTTGCCCACTTTCAAACTGGATTGTTTGTTTTTTTAACTGTTGAATTTTGAGTGTTTTATTTATATATTCTAGATACTAGTCCTTTGTTGGATACGTGGTTTTGCAAATACTTCATTCCAGTCCTTAGTTTGTCTTTTCATCCTATTCACGTGGTCTTTTAGAATGTAAGTTTTCCATTTTGATGAAGTCTAATTTATCAATTTTATTTCTTATGGGTCACATTTTTGATGTCAAGCTCTAAGAACTCTTCAGTTTTAGATCACAAATATTTTCTCCTACATTATTTTCTAAGGGTTTTATAGTTTTACACTACACACTTAAGTCTGTGATCCGTTTTGAGTTAATTTTTGAATAGGTGTGAGGTTTAGATCGAGGTTTATTTATTTTTTGCCTATGGACGTCCATTGCTTCAACACCATTTACTGAAAAGGCTTCCTCCATCGAATTGCTTTTGTACTTTTCTCAAAATCAGTTGCTGGAATAGCCAAATTCATAGAGACAGAAAGGAGAAGAATGGTTGCCAGTGGCTAAAGGCAGGGTGAATGGGGATAGAGTCTCCGTGTGGGATGATAAAAAAGATTTTGGGTATGAATGATGGTGATGGTTGCACAACAATGTGAATGTACTTAGTGCCGCTGAACTGTCCCTTTGAAATGGTTAAAACAGACTTTTATGTTACGTATAGTTTACAATAAAAATCTTTTAAAAATCAGATGGGCCTATTTGTGTAGGTCAGTTTCTGGGTTCTCTATTCTATTCCATTGATCTAAGTGTCTATCCCTCCACCGGCACCATACTATCTTGATTACTCTACCTTTTATATAATCAGCCTTAATATCTAGTAAAGTGATTCCTCCTACTTTGTTCTTCTTTTTCAGTATCATTTTATTCTAGCACCTGCGCTTTTCCATATATATTTTTAGAATAAGCTTGTGCATGTTTACAAAGTAACTTGCTGGAATTTTGACAGGAATTGCATTAAACCCATAGATCAATTTGGGGAGAACTGATATCTTTACCGTGTTATCTTCCAATCCATGAAAATGGTATGTCTCTCCATTTCTTTAGGTCTTCTTTAATTTCTTTCACCAGCATTTTGTAATTTTCAACGTATAGATCTTGTGAAGGTTTACTTAAGTTCATGCTTAAGTATTTATTTTTAGAGTGACTGTAAAGGGTATTGTGTTTTTACTTTTGGTTTTAAATTCGGTTTCCACATTTAAAATGTATTCCAATATTCCAGTGTGACTGATTTTTGTGTGTTAATCTTGTATCCTGTGATCTTACTGAACTGACTTATTAGTTCTAGGTCTTTTTAAGTTTTTATTTTATGAAATTTTTAATGTAGATATTCAGGTCATCTGCAAATAGAGACCATTTTATTTCTTCCTTTATAACCTGTGTGCCTTTTCTTTTCTTTGCCTTACTGCAGTGACTTAATATTCCAGAAGTATGTTGAAAGAGATTGAAGAAAGTGGGCATCCTTATTCTTGCTCTTAGAGGGAAAGTATTCAATCTTTCATTGTTAAGTATGATGTTAGCTGTAGGTTTTGTAGATCATCTTTATCAGGTTGAGTAAGTTCTCCTCTTTTTCTAGTTTTCTGAGAGTTTTTATCATGACTCGGTGCTGGATTTTGTCAAAGGCTTTTTTTCTGTATCAATTGAGATGACTGTATGGTTTTTCTCCTATTGATATGACTAATCACATTGATTGATTTTTTAATGGTAAATCAACCTTGCATGCCTGAAAAAAATCCGTTGGTTTACGGTATATAATTCTTTTAATAAATGCTAGGTTAGATTTGTTATTTTGCTGATAATTTTTAAAATCTAAATTTATGAGATATTGGTCTCTAGGGCTTTTGTTTGTTTTTTTTAATATAATTTTTATTTTTTGGTATTAGGGTATTAATACAAGCTTCATAAAATGAGTTAGGGAGTATTCCTCCCTCTTCTATTTTCTAGAAAAGATTGTTCTAGATTACTCTTAATTCTTTAAACATTTGCTAGTTTTCTCCAGCAAAACCATCTGGGCTTCCAGAGATTTTAAAAACTTTAAAATTATAGATTCAATTTCTTTAATGGCTATAGCACTATTCAGCTAGTCAATTTCATTTTGGTTGTATTTTGGTAATTAGTGTTTTTCGAGGAATTGGTACATTCTAAGTTTTGAATTTATGAGCTGTGAAGTTGTTACAGGAATCCTTTTTATCCCTTTAATGGAAGTACTGTACAGTGATACTCCATTTGACTTTAGATATCCTTGATGTTTGTCATCTCTTTATCTTTGTTAGTCTTTCTAGGAGTTTATCAATTTTATTGCTTTTTTAAAAAAGCAACTTTTTGTTTCACTGATCTTTATCATTTTCCTGTTTTTAATTTCACTTATTTCTGCTTATCTTTATTAATTTCTTCCTTCAGGTTGTTTTAGGTATATTTTGCTCTTATTTTTGTAGTTTTTAGAGGTAGGAACTTGGACAGTGGATTTGAGATCTTTCATTTCTATCATAAGCATTTACTGCTATAAATTTTTCTCTCAGCACAGCTTTAGTTGCATCCCACATAATTTTATTTTTAAAATTTTATTTATGTATTCATTTTTGAGACGGAGTCTCACTCTGTCACCCAGGCTGGAGTGCAGTGGTGGGGTTTCGGCTCACTGCAAACTCTGCCTCCCGGGTTCAAGTGATTCTCCTGCCTCAGACACCTGAGTAGCTGAGATGACAGTTGACCGCCACCATGCCTGGCTCATTTTTGTATTTTTAGTAGAGACGGCATTTCACTGTTGGCCAGGCTGATCTCGAACTCCTGACCTCGTGATCCACCCACCTCAGCCTCCCAAAGTGCTGGAATTACAGGCATGAGTCATCGTGCTCAGCCTATCTTTCTGGATTCTATCTTGTTTTATTTATAGAATTTTTTAGTATATTGCTTTGTATGGCTTTGTGGTTTCTCTGGATATTACAGAACATGTGTAACTTACTGCAGTTTACTGATATTGATGTTATTACTAATAAATGATATGTACTTTTATTAGTTTTTATCCTCACACTTAAAAATTAATGATATTTATTCCTTTAAAAGTTTTTATATTTCTATCATGGTAAAATACATATAACAAAACATATTATATTAGCAATTTTTAAGTGTATAGTTCAGTGGTATTAAATACATTCATAATGTTGAACAACCATAACCAGCATCTGTTTTCAGAACTCGTTTTATCTGTAAAACTGAAACCGTATGCCTATTAAACAATAATTCCCCATTTCCCCTCTCTCTTAGGCCCTAGCAACCACCATTCTATTCTGTCTCTATGATTCTGACCATAACTAAGTGGAGTCATATAGTGTTTATCCTCTTGTGACTGGCTTATTTCATCAGCATAACGTTCTTGAAGTTCATCCATGTTGTAGCATATGTCAGAATTTCTTTCCTTTTTATGGCTGAATCGTATTTCCTTATATGTATATACATATTTGGCTTATCCGTTCATCTGTTGATGAATACTTAGGATGCTTCCATGTTTTAACTATTGTGAATAATGCTGTGAACATGAGAGTAAAATGTCTCCATGAGGCCCTGCTTTTAATTTTTTGGCCATGTACCCACAGGTGGAATTGCTGGATCATATGGTAATTCTATTTGTAACATTTTGAGGAATCACCATACTGTTTTCTACAGTGGCTGTGGCATTTTTTACACCCCCACTTCCCACCAGTGGTGCACAAGATTTCTGATTTCTTCTCATCCTCACCAGCAATTGTTTTTTTCTTCTTCTTTTTTTTTAAGGTAGTAGCTATTCAAATGAGTGTGATAGTTCTATTTATTCTCAGTTCTTTGAATTCAAAATCACGTAAGTTAAAGGAGGACCACTGATGCATGCATAGATTTCATTTTTAAAATGGAAAGATAATCCTGATATTCTGGCATAACTAAATTTTACCTATTTTACTCTGAAATTATTTTACCATTGAAAAGTGGTAGTTTTAAAAAAACTGGTAAGATCCTGGAAACAATTTTAAAATAAATATTTAATTTTAGAACTCTTTTAGATTTACAGAAAAACTATGAAGATGGTATAGGCAGATCCCATATGCCCCACATCGCTCCCCCCGTTATAAACATCTAATATTAATGTAGTACATTTGTTACAATTAATGAACCAATATTGATACATTATTATTAACTAAAGTCCATACTTTATTCAGATTACCTTCATTTTAACCTAATACTCATTTTCAGTTCAAGGATCCTATCCAGAATTTCACATTACATTTAATAATTGTAGGGGGCTGAACAGTGTCCCCCAAAATTCATGCCCGCCCTGAAGTTCATAATTTGACCTTATTTGGAAATAGGGCATTTAGAGATGTAATTAGTTAAAGATCGTGAGACTAAATCATCCTGGATTTAGGTGGCACCTAAAATGAGTAAAGATGATGTGAAGATGGGAGAAGAGATTGAAATGATGTGTAAGCCATGGAATGCCAAGATTGCTGTCAACCACCAAAAGTTACGAGGGAGGCATGGCAGAGTTTCTCCCGCTGAGCTTTTAGAAGGAATCTACCTGACATCTTTATTTCAGACTTCTGGACTCTTGAACTGTGAGAGAATACATTTCCACCTTTT